TAGTCAAAACAGTGAATGAATCAGCTACTCTGAACCTTAGTTTGGAGAGGTCAGGGTTTGGGTGCTCCCTAGTCTGCCATCATTACACCTAACCCAATGTGGTTTTCAACTCCACCTGAGGTTGGCTCTATGCCTGCTGCACCCTCCTGCTCAACCCCCAGAAGTGGAGCCCCTAGCTGACCGGCCGCTCATCACAGATGCATGAGTAAACCCAGGCCAAACCTGCGGAAGAACCGCCCAGCTGAACCCAGCCCAAGTGGTCGACGGCAGAACTGTGAGCTAAGGTGGTTTTAAAGCATTAAGTTTTTGGGGGGTTTGTTGTGCAGTAATAGATTACTGACACACCCTGCAAGTCCTCATTCACATTCTAGTGGAGTGATCTCTCTAAAATGCTGGTCTGAACAGGGCTTGATTCTTTTAGCCTTGATTTCACTGGCTGAGAACTTGGGTCAGGCAAAGGCCTCAGGTGGTCAACATTTTTATTGTCCTGTTTAACTTTGAGACCCAGCTCGGGGCCACCTCCTCTGTTCCCCTGTTCCTTCTTGAACTCCTCCCTGGCGGACCCTGTCGCCCATAATTATACATCACATACTGAGAAGCCATCTCTTCTTATCTGCCTCCCTGCATGAAGCAAATTCCAGGGTGGGTGCACTGGAGATGCTTCTGGAATCCTTGTTGCGACATCCTGCCAAGAGACCCTACAGTGACACCTCCAGTGACAGGGAACCCACTGTTTTCCAAGTTCTGTCCTGGGACAACTATCACGGGATGGTGTTCTTTCACGGGACAGCTCTGCATATCAGAAAGCTCTTCCTTAAATTAAGCCAGAATGTGTTTCTCAGGAATTTTTCTCTTTGGTCCTATGGGGGTCATACTAAATACATTTGTTCCCCTCTCCCCACGTCTTATCTTCATCAGGTAAGCCCTCTCAGGCCCTAAGTGTGTCACCTTTCTTCTGAATCAGCCAAGAGCTGGACACAATATTCCTCACGTATCCTGTCCAACGCTAAGCTAAATGGGATATCACCTCCCTTGTTTTAGATGCTATGCTCCTATTAATGTAGCCTGAGAGCCAGCAGTTATTTGGCAACCAGAGAACACTGAACTCCCTGACAACTAAAACCCTGAAGTGTCTTCCTCCTCATACTTGCTGAGCCCTGTCCGACCCTTCAGATACTTTTCTGTTTGCTGAAGCGCTTGGCAAGTAGGCCTGGCTTCCTGCTCACCGCCTTAAATCCAACCCCAGCCACGGGGTCTCTGCCACCATCCAGGTGACTCAGACGGTGAGATCCCTGGCACTCAGGCCCCTTCTCTGACCTCACAGCTGAGCGAGCATCCCTGGGTTTGAACAGAGTCCTGCCCAGGAATCCAGCTCATGAAGGGACCTTGGTCAAGTCTGCCCATCTCTGGGCTTCAGTTGCCACATCTGTAGAATGCAGGGGTTAAACCTGATGATATTTTCTTCTTTAAACTTTTCACTGCATTCACAGAGAGACCCTTGTCCTCTTTATTCAGTTCCCCCCGATAGTGACGTCTGGCGTAAGTAGGGAGCAATATCACAACCAGGAAATTGCTATTGGTATAATTTTCCCAATTTTATTCAGATGGCACCAGTTTGGCACACTCTCACTTTGATGACATTTCAAGCCTCCTCTAACTCATAGGAGAAGACTTACCACCTGCTCCTCATCAAGCCCATGACTCATCTCCAGGGAACAAGAAACTGCCTGAGTCCATTGCAACATTTGGGAGTCTCCCCAGTGGGACTGGGGGGGCTAGTCCTGCTCACACCCATGATGGATGGGGTGGTGGATGTGGGGGGAAGGAGGTGGGCAGCTGTGAACTCACAAGATGGTCTTGAAGCTGGGAGTGGATTGGAGAAGAAGCTTCGTGTGTCAGAGAGAAGGGCCCCGTGGGTTCTGGAGCCAGGCTGCTGGAAGACTGACTGCTCACTCCTCCCTCCCCGCCAGGTGTCAGCTCTGCAAGGCGGGCCCGGACCCAGGTGTGAACCACTCCAGGTGAGCACACCCACCAGATGCAGGGGAACTCACAGGATTAATTTCTCCCACAGCACCGATCCTTTTAACCGAAGCAGGAACGTCTGCCTCTGCAAAGGCAAACCCGACCTTCCCAAGGCGAGGGCCATCGCATCCTTGCTGTGTGTGTGCTGGGCGCGGGGCCGCCGCTGTGCTTTGGTACGTGCTCCTGTGCTCCGCGAATCAGATGTCTGGTTCACCAGCGAGCCAGTCTGCCGGGGAACCACAGGCCTCTGAGCGATGTTCTGCCTCCTCGGCCAGTGCGTCTTCTACTGTGGGCTTGTTTCCTGCCACCCCTGGAAAGGACTTTTGCAAACCAGAAGCTGAATGCAGGGGCTGAGGTAGAAAAACAGAGGACATATCCTCGCAGAGCAGGGGGGAGACAGGGCATCACCGTCTCTTTCCCACTCTCTTCCTGCCTAGTTCCTGCCACTTTGCTGCAGGGTCACTGGTCACTGGATTTCTTCCCTGGGGACTCAGGAATCTCACTGGCATTGGAGGCAAGTCAGCCTGGTGACTCCAGTTACCACCCCAGGGAAGGGACTGTGGCCAATGCAGGGGGTGCCTGCCCTGTCTGCAGGGTCACAGCTACTCAGCGCCCAATAATTGGTGCCCTGGGGGACCCCCCAGGAGGTCCACTGCAAGAGGCCCAGGGTGCTGTGTTCTCAGTGCCCACAATAGTGCTTGGCACAAAGTAAATGCTCAATAAGTATCAGCTGAATGAATGAGTCGGTGAATGAATGAATGATTGCACTCAGTGTTGCTAGAGCTTCTATATGTTCGAGGGAAGCCCCAAATCTGGATTCCTATGTGGAATTTAAATATTGGTGACGAACTCAAAAACATTTTTTCCAGCACCGTGAGGTCCACACTGAACGTTTGCACGGCGGAGCCTGCCTGTTGACCTACATCCAGGTGGTCTGGACCACCTCTGCTCTCCAGGGAACCTGGGGCTGGAGCACTGACCAGAAGCTCGTCACTGGTGGCCCAGCCCTGCCAGCCTCAGGCCCATCAACAGGTTCCAGGAACACTGGCCTCCTGTCCATCTCTGGATGAGTCCGGGTCTTTGCTGCTGTCCCAGAGGACCGGCCCTTCCCAGTCAGCAGTAGAGGCTGCTCCTGCCCCTCCCCCACACTCCACGGGCACTGACCTTGGCCCTCGGCCCACGGCTCTCTCTTCCCCAGGTCCTCCCAGCACCCTGCCTGCCTGCAGGGCCCCAGCGGTCATCCCGTTCCCCACCTTTCCATTCCTTAACTGTCTTGTCTCCAACGACATTCTCCTTCCCTCTACCCCACCCACCAGTGTCATGGCCACACTGGGTTATTGTCATCTCCTGGGGTGGCTCCACCCTAGGGTGTTCCATGCAGACATTCCTACTCTGTGGCCACAACCTCCCGTTTTTCTCACTCTGTCACCTCGGTGCCCCCACTACACCTGTTTTTTAACCATATCAATGTCACTCTGCTTCCCTCACCTCCTAATGTTCATTTCCTCCCCTAACTCAGCCATTCCCCATAGTCTCACCGGTACCCCCGACACCCTGGAGCTGTGGCCATCCATCTGGCAAAACCTCTTCTGAATCAGCCAGTAAAATCCTCCTCATCTACTCTGTGCAACACTAAGCTAAATGGAATATCACCTCCCTCATTTTAAATGCTATACTCCTATTAATGTAGCCTAAAGCCATCAGTGTGAATTGAGCAATTCATGCTGTCTAGCTTCAGCTGGGGCCTCAAAGCCCCTGGGAACACCCCTGCTTCCCTCACTGCCCTTGACCATCGTAGGTCCTCCCAACATCTCCATTCTCCTCAAACCTCACATCCCTCTGTGCCTGCCTCATACTCCACCTTCCTTCATCCTTCTCCCTCCTAAATTAGGAACCCACCTGCCTCTGGGCCTGGTTTGTTTCTTCTGTCTGGGACACCGTCCCCTCCCAGGCCCCCAGGCTGCACACCCCTTCTCTGCGTTCTCTGAGCGCCTTCCCTCACCCTGATGGTGACTCTGTCCTAACAATTGTCCCTGTTGCCACGAGCCCCTTGAAGACAGGCTTTCGGGGTCACCACTGGGTCCCAAAGCATGAAGAACGCTGTCGCGTCGGGTTCAGGAAACATTCTTTCTCGCGTAGCTCACGCTTCTCTACCTGTGTGTCTTGGTTATGCCTCCACCAGCCCTCCCTTCCTCTGTCCACGTATCCAGATCCGCCCCTCAGTTCACAGTTCACTCCCTTCACAACGTCCCCTCTGACAACTCTACGAAACCCACCCTGCATCCCTCTGAATGCCCGAGGTGCGGCCCTGTGGCGTGCCCACGCGACCACTCGCGTCTGGGTAAGTCCCTGCGGCAGACTGTCTAGCGGCCTCATCTCTGTATCCCTAGCAGTTAGCCTAGCAAAGTTTGGATGGGCAAGCTGAAATGCAATAAGAGATCCTCATGGGAAACTTGTGCTAGTTTCCCATCGCTGCTGGAATAAACGCTCACACACTTGGTGACTTAATGCACATTTATTATCCCATGTTTCTGGAGGCCAGACATCCAACTCAGTCTCACGGGGCTGCAGCCGGGATGTCAGCAGCCCTGGTTCCTTCTGGAGACGGCAGGGAGCCTCCATCCCCTTGCTTTCCTGCCTCTAGAGGGCACCGTCCGTCCTGGGCTGGGGCTGCTTTGCATTGCCTAGACCTGCGGCACCTGTTGTGACATCACCTTCTTTGACCCTGGTACTTCTGCTTCCCTTTCATAAGGACCTTAGTGATCACTGGGCCACCTCAAAAACCCAGGACCATCTCCCCATCTCAAGACACTTAGTTCAGTTGCATCTTCAAAGTCCCTGTCACCATGAAAACATCCACAGGGTCCAGGGACTATAGGTCCTGGCTACTGTGGGGGCCACTGTCAGGCCACTACGATAGTATTTATTATGTCAGAAATAACTGACCGGGAAGCCCAGCTTCTTGCCTCGCTGCTGTTTTAATTCCGCCAGAAAAGTCGGAGGATTTCTTTCCTGTGGGCCGAGGACAGTGTTGTCAGACTCCTAGGCATGCATTTTTTATAAAGTTCCCACACCTTGGTCCTGAAAAGCTGACCCACAAAGACGTAGATGACTGGATTCAGGCAGCTGTTGATGAACGCGAAGAAGTTGGCCCACTGCAGGCCCAGGTCGGTGAGCTCCTCCCAGAAGCAGCCCCGGAGGGCCCGCACTCGGAAGAGGAACTCCAGGAAGGCGAAGAAGTGGTAGGGGGCCCAGCACACCAGGAAGGCAGCCACGAGCGTGAGGATCAGCGCTGTGGTCTTGCCATCCGTGGGGCCCCTGCAGCTCGTCCTCCTGACCTCTGCCCGCCCGCGCAGGGAGGCCAGGATGTGGTAGTTGAAGAAGAGGATGGCAGCCAGCGGCAGGAGGAAACCCAGCAGGTTGAGCTCCACCATCCTTACGACGTGCCAGGCCTGGTGGGGGAGCAGCAGTACACAGGCCGACACGTTCAGTTCCGGGACGACCTTGACGGAGCGGAGCAGGAACGTGGGGATGCTCAGGAGGCCCCCCAAGACCCAGATGAGCATGCAGGTGACCTGTGCCAGCCACCGCCGCCGTCGCCTCCGGCTGGCCATGGGGTGCACCAGCACGGCGTAGCGGTCCTGGCTGATCGCCACCACCAGGAAGATGCTGATGAATAAATTGGCCTTGATCACTCCATTGACGACACGGCAGAGGACGGCCCCGAAAGGCCAGTTGAATTGGTTCCAGATGTTCTCGGCCCAGAAGGGCAAGCCCAAGACAAAGACCAGGTCAGAAGCCGCCAGGTTGGCCAGGTAGATTTCCGCCACGGTCAGACGCCGGCGGGGCAGGAGGAGGACGGACAGCACGAAGAGGTTCCCCAGCAGGCCGCAGGAGCAGACGGTGACGATGAACTTCGGCAGCACCCTGTGCAGCAGGTCCCAGGCTTCCCGAGCATTGTCACAGGACGTGGCGTTTGGAGGCACGAGCTGGCTCTGGTTGGAGGATTGGAACTCCAGGAGGGCCCGGGATGCCATCCACAGTGACCTGCAATGAACAGCACGTAGCTAAACACCTGCGGGCTGTGTGCAGCTGGCGGAGGTTTTAGAAAACAAAGTTTCATTGACACCTGGTTTTCATTGACACAAAGTTTCATTTACGTATGGCCCAGGGCTGCCCTGTTACAACAGCGGAGTTGAGTGGTTAAGACAGAGACTGTGAGCCCTGTAGCCCTGAAATATTTACTATCTGTTCCCTGAAATGGGAAGTTTGCCAACTCCTGGTAGAAAGGAAAGGGCAGGGCTTTGAAACCTGAGTCCAAATCCTGGCACAGCCCCCTGGTGTGGGCCACTCAGACCTGCTGACTTTTCTTTTTCTTTTCGAAAATTGGAGCGAACTGTATTCTGCTTGGCACGGTTACCTGGCACAGGGGAAGCACTCAGTGGAAGGTGGTGATGCGTTTTATGAACAACCATGTTTTATTATTATTATTATTATGTATTTATTTTTTTATTCTCACCCAAGGACATTTTTGCATTCATCTTCAGATAGAGCAGGAGGGAGTGAGGGAGGAAGAGAGAGAAACATCGATGTGAGAGAGACACATTGACTGGTTGCCACCCACACGACCCCAACCGGGGCCGGGGCCAAACCGCAACTGAGGTACGTGCCCTTAGCAGGAACCGAACCCAGGTCTCTCTGGTCCGCGGGCTGACGCTCTAACTGCTGAGCCAAACTGTTATTATTATTAACAGTCTAACAAACATTTAATGAGTATCTGCTTTGTGCTGGCATGTTGCCAGACGCCGGAGATACAGGGAACAGGACAGAGCAGCCCCAACCTGAAGGTGCTCACCGTCTAGTAGGGCTGGGGAACGTCAGGCCCGTAGCCCTTGAAGGCCCTCGAAATCAGTACCAGCTAACATCACATGTCTCACCAGATGAGCAGGCTAATTTCTAAGTTGATAATTTTGTATGGCTCACGAATGATATTATAAATATCCAAATGGCCCTTCTTGGGAAAAATGTTCCCCACCCCTGGAGGAGGGATGCAGACACGGAGACAGTCAAGAGCAGTATACCTGCTGAATACGTATGTTCGCAGGGGGGATGGTGAGATGTGATCAGAGTCCCTATGTATTTCGAAGGTATGATTTTCAATAGGATATTGGTGGTGAGAGAGGAGGAGATTTTGGGTCTGAGCATCTGGAAATAAAACATTCATCGACTGAAATGTAGATAACAGAATGAAATGGAGAGGTTTCTTTTTTTGGGGGGGGTGGGAATCAGGAGTTTACTTCTGGACATATGAAGGTTGAGATGTCTGTTGGACATCTAGTGGGGATGTCCAGAGGGCGTTGAAGACAGGTAGGTATTCAGATCCCAGGTCTGAGTTAATGATACATAGTCGGGAACTGTAATGACATAGATGATTTATTTACTTTTTAATTTTTTTCTTTATTGATTTTAGAGAGAGAGGAAAGGAGAGAGAGAGAGAGAAAGAGAAAGAAAAAAGAGAGAGAGAGAGAAACATTGATGAGAGAGAACATTGATTGATTGGCTGTCTCCTCCATGCCCCCCACTGGGGATCAGGCTCGTCTGGCCAGTGTGGCTCAATGGTTGAGTGTTGACCCACGCACCAAGAGGTCGCCAGTTCGATCCTCGGTCAGGCCACACGCCCAGGTTGTGGGCCCCATCCCCAGTGGGGGGCATGCCGGAGGCGGCCAATTGATGTTTTCTTTCATCGATATTTCTGTCTCTCCCTTTTTCTTCCTTTCTCTCTAAATATAATCAATGAAGAAAAAAAATTTTTTTTTTAAATTTTAAATTGCTCACAGTGGATGCGACAGCCCATAGCTGTATCTTGTGCTGATGACACACAGGCACGTTTTGGTGGGCGTCATAGTAACAACACTGTTCTTACCAAAGCAAGAGACCGATGAAATGCAAATGGACCTCGAACAGGTCACGCTGCACACAAGTTGTTATTGCATTAAATAAATCTCGATATTCTGTCAACTGAAATGGAGGTTGCAGTTGATGAGATTTACAACATTTTGAAACATAGTCACTGAATTGCAAACATTTTGTGATGAAGCTGACAGCAACCTGAGCCTGTGTTTTCTGTCTCGGCTGCCCATCATCAGTCAGCGTCAGGAGACGTGGAGTCTGAGGGCCCTATGATGCTAGAAACCGCTTGTTAAAGAGGATCTCCAAATAGCTGAATTTTGTTCCACGTCAACTGGACATCTTTAATCAGAGTATTCACCAAATGTGGTACCCAAATACCAGCTTCTAAAGCTTTTAGCAGCTGACAATAATTGAAAACAAAGCTTTTATGTAGAAAATAATTAAACTTTTTTTTTTTTTTTGCTGAAGGAGCAAGGGAAAAAATGATCAAATTAAGTAATGGGAGCTCAGATGGCACACAAGATTTAATTTTTAAATCCTGTAATAAAATTATATGATGAGCTTTGGAATATCTCCATTTGTAGGAAGAATTTTTTCTTTTTTCTTTTTTTTTTTTTTTATCCTCACCCGAGGATATTTTTCCATTTTTTGTACAGATAGAGTGGGAGGGAGAGAGAGGAAGGGAAGGAGAGAGAGAAACATCGACGTGAAGGGACACATCGAGTGGCTGCCACCCGCACGACCAACCAGGGCCGGGGACAAACTGCAACCGAAGTACGTGCCCTTAGCGGGAACCGAACCCGGGTCTCTCCGGACCGCAGGCCGACGCTCTAACCGCTGAGCCAAACCGGCCAGGGCTGTAGGAAGAATTTTTTCAATGGGATACATTCATATTCCCTACAGAAAAGAGATGAAATTGAGAAAGTCTATGATCTGTTTTATCTGAATTTGACAAAACATTAAAAAATTATAAATAGCTATAATTTCTTTGAAGAGTTTAGTCCGGTAAATATATCTGTTGAAGAAAGAAACTCTGAACCAAGGCATGAGGGTAGCAGCTGTGAACACATCTGGGCTGAAATGTTTACCTAATTCCATGTACAAAGACCTGGGCTCGAATTCCTTGTCAGAATTTGTTCAGAGTGAATCGGGTCCCTTAGCACCTACAGAGGGAACATTTTCTTTCTTTCTTTTTTTGTTAATCTTCACCTGAGGATATTTTTGTCATTGATTTTTAGAGAGAGTGGAAGGGAGGGACGCGGGGTAGAGAGAGAGAGAGAGAGAGACATTGATGTGCGAGAGACACATCGATTGGTTGCCCCCCACAGGTGCCTGACTAGGGCGGGGATTGAACCTGCAACACAGGTACATAACCTTGACCAGGATTCGAACCCGAGACCCTTTGGTCTGCAGGCCAATACTCTAACCACTGAGCACACCAGCCAGGGCAGGAACATTTTCTTATTTAAATATATTGTGGTCCAAGAAAAGAGTCAATTGAAGGTGTTAATTTAAATGTATTAACCATAACATTTGAAGAAAAAGATCTCAGCAATTGTATGTAACAGTTAAAAATAATAAAATCAGACCTGGCCGGCTTGGTTCAGCGGTTAGAGCATCGGCCTACGGTCCAGAGAGACCCGGGTTCGGTTCCTGCTAAGGGTGCGTACCTCAGTTGCAGTTTGTCCCCGGCCCTGGTTGGTCGTGCAGGTGGCGGCCACTCGATGTGTCCCTTTCACATCGATGTGTGTCTCTCTCTCTCTTCCTCTCTCTCCCTCCCACTCTCTCTGAACAAAAAATGGAAAAATGTCCTCAGGTGAGGATAAAAAAATAAATAAAAAATAAAATCACACTCAAAGAAAAATATATTCTTCAGGAACATGCCAGTGACATGTCAGTCGGGCACAAGGCTAAGAAACCGATTCCCGCCGTGGCTGTTAACCAAGAGCAGTTATTTTGCTTGTGTTGTTTTTCTGTGTTCAGTTAATCAAAGAAAAGGTTTTATTTTGCTTTAATAAATGTAGATGTATATATTTTTAAAGACATAATTTTTAAAAAGTTTTAGACTAAAACTATTTTGTAACTCTATTGATATAATATAACCAATTTGTTGGGGTGTGTGTGTGCGTATACATATTTAAAATATATAATTAAATACATAGTATTTTTGAAAACGGTTTTTGACTTGGACTGCCTTACAACGCCATCAACATAGTATAACCAACTTGAAGACACCCAGTGTGTGTCACCGGTGATGGCAGCCTCGGGAGACAAATCCACCAGCACGCCTGGCTTCTCGGATGCCCGTGGGCACCCAGCAGCCCCTGTACTGCACACCGGTGTGCAGGCCACTTCCTGAGACTTCCACTGGGCTTCAAGCTCTTCCTCTCCTCTGCACCTGCTGGGGGTCTGGTCTCAGCCCCAGTCGTCCCCCACACTGGGGCTGCAGGGTGAGGCCCTGGAGCCAGATCCGACCCTTGACACACCTGGGATGTGCTGGGAGTCGGGGACTGTGCTGGGCTTTAGGCGACCGATCCTTGTGCCCATTGCACAGATGAGCACGTGGAGCTGAGGAAAAGTGAAGTGACTTGCTCAGGTGCTCCTGGCAACCAGTGGGTTTGTGCACAGTTCCTTTTCCTGGCCCAGCTCAGGCTCCAGGTCCTTCATACATTATGCTGTGACTGTCCAGAGAATGGGTCTGGAGTCAGGGAACCTGGGCTTCGTCCTGGGGTCACTAAACTGTGATTCTGGGCAGGTCAAGTAACTTTTTCTTAGTCTCAGTTTCCTTGCCTGTAAAGTGGGGACAGTGGGGGGTATCGCAGCGCCACTGTGCGGCGTGAAGGAAAGCATGCAATAAAACCCCTCGGGTTGCAAAGCATCATAGCGAAGGCTTTACCGATGACAGCCTCTGCCCCAGCAATAAGGACAATGCGGTGGCAGTAATAGTAGTGATGACAGAGTGTCCTGGTCCCTCTGAGCAGAAGCACCCTCTCCTCCACGTGGACTAGCCCGGTGCATCATGAGACCCCTCTTCTGCTCTTCCTGACTCTGGAAGAGGTCAGGGATGTCCTGGGACCTGGTGCAATGGGACGCAGAGGTGCTGGATTCTGGAAACCTCCAAGAGGGCCTGGTGCTTG